AAAATTTAAAACATGGTTTCATTAAGTCACAAAGTCACTCAAGATGGTCTCAAACTCCTCCTACCTCAGTCTCTTGAGTGTTTGGGAATTTTTAAATTTAGGCATTAAGTTCAAATATGGTCATCAGAAAACTGTTGATCGACAAACTGGATCTCTTCACCCAGATACTAACTCCTGCAAGAACAGTGCAGCACTGTGAGTCTAAACGGATCGTTGCTTATAATTCCAGAAGCAGCTATCTGAACCAGGAATATGGTATGATTCAAGCTCATCTTGTACCTTCCCTGCATTGGCCCAGGATTCAACGGTCTCTCTGGCCAGTTCTGGTTCTTTTGTGTTGAAGAGTCGTATTTTTAATTGAGATGAGTGCTACATGTGCTCACTTCTTTAGGGGTACCATTGCTCCCAGGCCCACGCAGTGGACAGACCTAAGTGGTACAGGTGTAGACTCAGAGATACATCCGTATGCATGTCCATGGCTATTTCCACACATTGGCATGTGTGTGAATTCATGTTAATACGTGTGAGTCTAATCCAACACAATAGGGTTCATTCTAGCTTTCTCTGACCTTCCTTCAGTAATTTTTATTGTTGACAATGAGAAACTTGGCTCTCATTATCCACAATATATTTAATTATTTCCTTAGTTCTATTACTGTGTGTGTAGATATATGTATATATATGTTGGTTTTAGAATTATGAAAAAATACTACATGTTTTACTAGCTACCATGCATATAGTTATTTGTGTCTCTAGTATATATGAAATATTTTCTAAAATTTCTTTCATTTTTTAATATTTTTCACTATGATTATGTTATTCAGTTGTAATAGAAATAGAATTATTTGTTACCAATTCTACTGAATTTTTTGTTATTTACATATTCAGGTTTATTTCAATTATTTCCTTAGTTTTTGTTATGTGAAGCATTAAGATGTTTTAGAGAAAAGACTATATGGTAAAAGCTATCGGAAAACAGTGTTTCCCCACATGTAGTCTACCTAATTTAGCTATTTTTCCTATCCATTTATACTTCTCTCTTTTAGGCAACCTATTAATTTACAGCAGAGTTTTGTACTTTGACCAGAAAGGGTTTTTTTCCCCATTAAGTTTATTGGTACATTTTCGGTATAAAATACAGTTACATTCATCATTGGGATCTTGTACCTTTACATGAGTATCTTGGTTCTTATTTTTTTTCCCCTTCCCTTGTCCTCCCTTCACCCCTTCCACCCTTCCCTATTTGCAAACACCTTGTTTCCATTTTTTTTCCTCTTTTCATATATTTTCCTTTCCCTTTTTCCCCTTCCCCTACCCCTCCCAATTCCCCTGCTCTTTTAGACCTTTTCTTCCTGTTACATAATATCAGTTATACAGTTTTTAAATTACAATATTAAGATCTAGGAGACATTACCACAGATTTTACAGAATTTAAAAGGATATAGAAAGCATATTACAAAAAT